CATCTGAAAGCGAGCGAGGAGCCCCAAAGGCGTAGGTGCAGAAGAGGTCACCCCAACCGCGAAGGCGGGTGGACCTGAGCCGCTACACATGATTTTGGCAGCAGCGAGCCGGCCCCTCGGCTGCGCAGCGGTGTCCGGTCCAGTGCAGGTGGAGATGGACCCCGGGCTGGGGAGAGGGAACGGGGAAGGGAGGACGGTGGGCACGGGTGGGTAGGAAAGCGCCCATGCTAGTTCCTCGGCTCACAGAGCAGGTTGGTATCCTGGCAGCTTGCTAAGGGCCTGATCCGACCCGTTAGGAAACTGGCACTCGGTCTTGGGTCCATAAATACGAGAATTAAATAACAATTGGGCAATACCCGGAGCCTTACGGAGGGACTAGCTCCAAGTAGTTAAGTCCCCCACCACAATCTTTGTGCATGAGAATGCAGATGTGGGGTTTGGTGGAACACACGGTGGAACACGTGGTCGGTGGATGGAGGGGGTGCGGGCGCAGTGAGCCTGCGAGCCCAGCTCGCTCTGGCACGCAGCAAAGTATACGGCAGCGCTTCTCTTTCTCTCATGTATCATAGAATCATAGAATGTTTAGGGTTGGAAGGGACCACTAGTGGTCATCTAGTCCAACCCCCCTGCAGTGAGCAGGGACACTGCTAACTAGGTCAGGTTGCTCAGAGCCCCATCCAACCTGGCCTTGAATGTTCCCAGGGATGGGGCCTCCACCCCCTCTCTGGGCAACCTGTTCCAGTGTTTTACCACCCTCATTGTAAAAAATTTCTTCCTTACCTCTAGCCTGAACCTACCCTGTTCTAGTTTAAAACCATTTCCCCTTGTCCTAACACAGCTGGCCCTACTAAAAAGATTTTCCCCATCTTTCCTATGGGCCCCCTTTAGGTACTGGAAGGCCGCAATCAGGTCTCTCCGTAGCCTTCTTTTCTCCAGACTGAACAAGCCCAACTCCCTCAGCCTGTCCTCATAGGAGAGGTGCTTCAGCCCCCGGATCATTTTTGTGGCCCTCCTCTGGACCTGTTCCAACAGTTCCATGTCCTTCTTGTGCTGAGGGCTCCAGAGCTGGACGCAGTACTCCAGGTGAGGCCTCACCAGAGCTGAGTAGAGGGGCAGAATCCCCTCCCTCGACCTGCTGGCCACACTTCTCCTGATGCAGCCCAGAGTTAATTAGTGAAATGGGAGAAATAGAACAGCTTAGGTTTTACGATTGGCTACCAACATTGAATTTTTGGCTTATTTTCCACAAAATGCTCTGGAAAAGGGAGCATGAGCTAGAGAGTGCTAACTAGTGCAGATCTCGGGTGGAGGTTGTGAAGGGGGGGTGACGCTCCCTGTTGCCGGAGTGCACGGTGAATGTCACCGCGGGTGACTCTGCAGTCAACAGACTCCAAACAGCATGCACTGGTGTCATTGCAGTACCAAAGGAGTGCGTGAATTCCAATTTAGAAGCCAAGATGCAGATGTTAATGCCCGAACCTCAGATTTTTGTGGAAAGAACTCTGGCCCTCATCAAACCAGATGCCGTTGATAAAGAAGAAGAAATAGAGGATCTCATTCTCCGATCGGGATTCCTGATCATTCAGGTAATAGGCCGTGTTCCAGAGAAAATAACTGCAGTTTGTAAGTCAGAACAATATTTATCTTAACTTTCAGCGGTCGAGCCAGTAACTAAAAGCTAATGTGTCCAAAAAATCGGTTTGTATTTTTTGGATGTCATCAACCACCGCTGCCAGATTCCGTAGGGATACACTCTGTTGGCACACGGGGTGGGACAGAACAGACCGACTATTTTGCTGACCACAGGAAAACACGGACCTTGTTAATAAACTTGGATTTAGCAAACATATGTAGCAGATATGGGGGCTCTCCGAAGTAACTCTTTGGAGAGCGTATCGTTCTGGCACCGCCGGGTTTCGTACAGCGTGTGGCTGCCAAGTGGATGCTTGGAGAATTAATCGAATTAGATCGCTGGCTGGTAGCAGTCCACTGTATTTTTTGTTTCCTCTGTTTTTAGTGGAAATGGGCTTTATGGATATTTATTACAAATGCATCGTTAAACAGGCCTCGCCGAGCTTGTCCTTGCGTTTGGGCCTGACCTGGAGGCCCTGGGAATGTCGCCTTGCGCACCCGTCAGCCCCGGCGCCCCCCGAGCTTTGCCGTCCGCTCGTGACGAACGTGCCCTCAGCCCGGGCTCTCCGTACACGTGCTCTACCGGAGCACCTGAAAAAACCTGTTGTCCTAGGGCAGAATCTGGGCAATGAAGCAGGAGCGCTGGATAGCCAGCGGCCGGGCAGGGACGGGGCTT